ACGCAATCACACTGCAAGTATGGCAAGTGATCAAAAGATTAAACAAATAAAGTGAGAGGCTGTATGCACCTTGAACCAGTCTGAAATTAAGTAGAATGTGATGAATATCATTGCATACCAGTCTATCACAAGACAGTTATTGCTAAATTCACATGCATACAGCTCATTTTAACACACGTTAACGTGACATTTTTGGATTGCAAGTGATGGTTTCAGCTTAGTTTCATCCATAAGCAAAAGCCAGAAGACAAAATGCAAATTTAGGCAATCCTGATATCTGAAAAAATCCCGACTCTCTTTTAATGAAGAAGGACTCTTGATGTGGAAACCGATCCACTGCCTCCATCTGTCGTAAATACACCTCATCCAGCTCTATCCAAAACATAGAGCCATCTGTTTGCTTTTTATGTTCACTTTTTTTTTTAAACAGACTCAACAGGGCAGATATTTTTGCACTTCTCTGAAAAACAAAAGATCTTCTAGCAAAGCCCTCTTGGCAACTGCATGACAGCTCCTCTGGCCATTTATATTCTTCAGAATAAACAAAAACCTCACAGGGTATTCGTTACATGTAGCATATGGCCTGCATATCTTTAACACTATGAACAAATATCGGCTAATTCCCGATCTGTCTTCGAATGCCATCTTATGTCATCTGTTTGCGGTACACTGTGGATTCTGTTACCCTCCAGTCAAGTTAGTCCAAATCTTTAAACACAAATGACATGCTGTTGACACGATTTCCAAGTACCTTATGTTTCTTTGCTGCAAAATTAATTTGTCACTCTTGTTTTGTTTAAATGTGAAGTGTTAGCTCAGTTCAGTATAAGCAGTTTAGTTCAGGGCGGGGTGACATATGATTAGGCAACTTAGCTTAAGTAACTATAAGTCAGAGAGCACATAAGGTACGTCTGACAAAGGCTACACAAATGACCAAACTTGATACATTTAATCTATTTCAAATCAGAAACATCCATGAAACACATGCCAAACTTTTTTATTTGAGTGAGTTCATGTGAAAAAAACAAGTGTTCAAAAGTGAAGCATGTGTTACTTGGTTACTTTCTACCACGTTTTACTAAGAGCTATCAAAACAGTTTACATTATTTTGCTAAGCTGTATGACTGAAAAGATCCTCCTGAGGTTTGGTTCAGGAGGATCTTTTCAGTCTCACTTGAGTGTGAAGTCCAGACTTATTTCTCATCTAGTAGCTAAGTGACAGTGAGGTCATGGTGTTGCTGTCTCAAGATCAGTGACTGTCTCTTTCTAAATCCCCTTTTAATGAGAATCAAAGCAGAGCGTAATCCAAGCTTCAATATCTTTTCAGGGCCAACTTAAACATTAAGAGGATTGAGAGGCTTCCATGCACAAGAATCTCTGCAAACAAACCATGGGTGTACACAAACTGTGTGGCTTTTTCATGCTTTTGTGAAGATTTTTATCACTACTATCCTTCTATTCTTTTTATACCCTATTAAAAAAAAAAAAACCCCTCAAATACCTTCATGAGTAACAAAATTGGTCCTGAAGTCTATCCATACTGAGGCACACAGTTTTCTCCAAGTCTGAATTAAAACAACTACATTCAAAGAAGTTTGCAAGTTATTTGTAATTACTTTGTGCAAACAAACATGGAAGTCTAGAAACTGGTGAAAAAACTGCTTTTTCACAGAGCAGCAGATTTTCTTCTAAAAGAATTGTGTGCGCTATACAGACAGTAATGCAACGTGTGCAATGTGGCCAGCAAGTGGTCGGACATCAAAATAAAAGAAATGCTGCAATGTCCCAGCTCTGACTGTAAAGTTCTTCTCACGTTTTAAAGTGGTCAACAGTAAACCTTTCTGTTGCAGTGCAAAAACAGTCATGTGTCTTAATATCGCTGCATCAGCTTCAGTAACAAAGCTTTGAGTGCTTTATTAGACACCAAAGTGCATGTGTTTTCATAAAGTTACCGACTCCTTCATCACACTCTAGTCTTCCACCAAAGCCAAACTTTAATAAATTAAGTTATTGTGTGCTCTTTGTATGCGTTTTTGAATTATGGAACATCTTCACTTTCTCTGTGAAAAGGAATGGCTAGAATGCTGTTCTGCTGCATGTGCAGTCACTTAAAGCCAAATGCAGCTTGGGTATTCGTCCAGAGAGACTCTGCAAATCATGGCTGGCACAAGCAACAGAGTCATATTTGTGGAGCACAAACCTGGAATGAACACTGTGCTCAATAAAAAGGGAATGAAGTGCACAGATTATAAAAGAGAAGATAAAGCAAACAGATGTTGTCTGTAAACACAAAGGATGCACTGTATTATTAACTTTCTGAAACCTAATGTAAAACCTAATCATCTGTAGGTAAGTGTGCGATGGAAATTCATTGATATCTCTAACATAGTATAGAAAACAACAGGGTAGAATGGATCTATATGAGAACGTGTAAAGTATGAAAAATGGCAACTTGATGTATGACGTAGATCCTGCATGATGATTAGCTTCTGTATATGTACAGAAAGAGCTGTCAAGCAAGTACTTCTACCAGAGGGCTCCAGAATGACATAGCCCCTAACTATTGCAGCCAAGGATTAAATATATTGCATTGGGCGTGTCATTAAACTCTGATTTATTGTTCCACCATAAAAAAGTACACCGAGTCTATTCTGATTTATCCACAAACTTATTGTGAGATGTCTATACTGTATGTGGAAGCGTTTTCCATGAAGTTCAACACAATAAACTTGGCCGACACTGGCTAGATTGCTGATCTGGTAAGTAATAAAATTGCTTAGTCAGCTTTCACAGTCTTAGTTGCTTAGTTTGCGATGCTGCAGCCTGCAGAGCAAAGCAAGCTGTGTTTCTGAGCAACTTGAAATGTTTATCTTTAAGAATGTTTATTGCTGAAGCAGAACTCTTAGCACGCAACAGCTGTATATCTCACTGCCTGTTTTCATTACACCTCACTGTGTGGGTCTGGGAAGTTTTTTAGTGTGAAGGGAATCTGCACCAAAATTGAGGTCATTTTAATTTTTATTTCATAAATTTCTCTGTGTCTGAACCCTTGCAGTGGCACAAATATACTTGTATAGTATATTTGTAGTATAGTAGTAAAATAAAAAAAAGATAAGGATAAAGTAAACATTATGAGTGTTACGGGTGTCTGAAGCATTAGCAGCTGTGAAGTAGGAGTGAACTTAGCCCTTTGCTTCACCTTCTATCATTATTTTAGATTCGTACTGTCCTTCAAATATTGATTTCTCTTTCACTTACTGAAGTTTAACTAATTCTAATAACCAATTATATATATATATAATATATATATTATACACATATATTAGGTTTTAGCTGTTCTTATTCTGCTGGGTGGAGACCCCTGTTGTTGTACCTGGAATCTGCCGGATCCACTCTCATTGTTTGGGGGTTCCTAATGTTCCTACCACTGGGACCACTTTGGACTTCCAGATCTGCTCCAGCTGTTCCTTCAGCCCTGGGACTATTTTCTCACATTGCTGTCTAATGGTATTGCCACAGCTATCCCAACTGTGATCTTCTGCTCTTTGTCAACCACCGGTGTCTGGTTTGTTGGCCATCATCAGCTTGTCTGTTTAGAACTGTGTTGTTCTCACTGACCTTTATTGATGTCTCCTATTGGGACTTGGGGACTTTTAGTCCCTATGTGGCACAAATGTTCCTGTCCCACTTGGTTGTGCTTTAAAGTGTACGCTGTCCCAACTTTCATCCTACATCCTGCTATGTGTTGACATTCTCTGGGCACTTTTGCACAGTCTGCAACTGGGGTCCTGCTGGCTGTGGTAGATCTCTGCCTGTATGGATATGCTGGTTAAGGTCTGTTTTTGTGACATGATCAGATCCGCTCTACTGCCCTTTTTCTACCCAGGGATAGGATCTCTTGATGTCCATCACTTCCCCTATTTGTTTATGGTATACCCCATGAGGGGTTGGTCTTCCATGATAGTTCTGCTTGCCGTTCCTCATCACTGTCTGTCTTCAGCTGCTTGAGGCACCCTGGGAGCCATTATGTATACATATAAAGGGGCTTCATTAATCTGTTTAGCTACATGCTTATGCTTTAAGTACACTGATCAGCCGCAACATTAGAACCACCTGCCTTACATTCTGTAAGTCTCCCTTATGACACCAAAATTGACCACTGAGCTATGGACACAGGACACAGTCAGGCACCTGTTGGGGATTTAGGAGGGTTTTGAGAAAGTATTTTCCACATGAATGCTAACAGCCAAAGTTTCTCTGCAGTATCAGCATTGTAATGAAATGACCAATGCTATTCATATTAGGTGTCAATGATGGAGGCTTACTAAAGCAACGAACTAGGCATATAACCACAGGAAATATCCTCTTAGGTGTGTCCAGTCAGCAAGTGTAGTTCATCCTTGCAAAATATCCATTTGAAATTATATTAAAACTATACTCAATAATTAAGAAGTTGCTTCTCTTACCAAATTTCTCAGAAAAATCACACAAAAGTAAAAGTGCCTTTCTAAATCATGACTTACTTCTTTTTTATATTCCATTTAAGGGTTTTGTAATGTGGTCTTGGTTAGAAAGCACACATATTGCAGTCTTGTGGTCTAACATGCAATATGAAGAAAGGACCATGCCAGAGCTAGGGTGTAAAATTAAGACAAATTGAGTCTCTTGTGTTTTTGTACATTTTTGTGGTAAAATCCAGCAGTTAAACCCAGGAAAGAATGAATGATCATGCCATCATAAAGCACTTTTCATTTTATTTAGAACCTAGAAAAAAAAAAAAAAAAGAGCAAATAAGAAGATCCAGAACAAAAACATGTGTTGGTAGAACAATAAGTTAAATACAAGGAGAGGATTCGTGTCTCAGAAATTATTTAAAGACTAGACACAGGGTTTGCGAAGGCACGCAAGTGACATGATCTATACTGTGTGTTAAAGCAATCACAATGAAACAAATATGTACAATACCAAAGACACAATGTGGTAGCAATATATTTTTCTCATAATTTACACGTAACTAGCTTGGGTAGATACCAGCAGCTAAACATCACTGCTACTATCTGGAAAACAGAATGGAAATCAGCGATGCAAAAATTTATTCCCATTTCAAATTACAGAAGTATTTTTGTTAGCAATATTTCTAAAATTAAGGACATCATCGCTCCTCTGCACCACGTTGACTCCACCACACATTACATTATTTCACAATAAGCTAAGACTGATTGCTACAAGTTTCTTACAGAAAGTTTTTCTGTCAAGAAAACAAAATACATGTCGTCCCCTCATTTCTCTTTCTCACCCTACCTCAGTCCCTAAATTTATTTCCCCCCTTCCCTCTGAGGAAATGTAGAAATATATTTCATTAGCCTTAAGGGCTTGGCTGTAGAAATCTGAAGCCACTGCGGGAACTTCTGTCTTTTGCTCTCTTCCAAAAAGTAACTGTGTGAATTTACAGTATATAGTGGGGTCACAAAAAAAATGAAGAAAGAAATAAAGTGAGTATTGTTCCCACATGTTGTAGGTTGTGAAGTCCCAGTTTACACGGTCCTAACAGATTTCTGTGGCTATGTCTCCAGGCTCAAATGCACACAATCGTTTTTAAAAGCTGTCATGAGAGGTGGAGAGAATTCTGATGTCAACCTGAAGGCTCAGCGCCCAGTGAACTCTGTGCTCTTGTGAACAGGAATTCTTCAGTGTGAGAAGTGAAATTCCTCTCGCAGTCAGGTGCATAAGCCAGAAGCACCACCTACCTACACTGTATTCGCAGATGTGCATCACGAAATGGATGCACTGGATTCAACTAATTTACTTTAGCATTTAAGTCGCATTTCTTCACATCTGGGGGGAATCATTTTTTGAAGTTGACTCCCAACAAGTTCTAGAGTTTCTCACAGAGTTTTCAGGATGTTTCCAGCAGGGATTTGTTTACCTTTCAGAAGGTGGTGCTTGCATAGCTGCAAACGGAGGCATTTATTACAAGCAGAGGTTCAGCAAACCCAGTCACCAAAACATACTGACACATTCCAGACATTGTTAGAGATATGCTTCAAGTGAACTATTGCTTATTTTGTTTGCATAACTGACAAGTGAGCAGAAGAAAAACGTGGAAACTAAACAGAAATGTTCCCCGGTTTTGCAACAGAAAAGGTAAATTGCATAAAAGTGAGTTAGAAATGCTAAAATCCATCCAAAAATAAGTTTAATATTGAATTATAGCGAAGGAAAAAAAAAAAAAGCCTTTTAACCCATAACCAGGACTTGAACAATATATCAGAATACCTTACAAGACTTGGAATATTATGTGGTGAGAAGAGAACTGTGAAAATTAGTCCTCAAAGCTAATAACCACATCCTCGGCACAGCTCATCACATCACATCCCAGCAAATCAGCTCAAAAATATTTTGTGATAATGCACATGGTGTCTTAAAGTTAGTGTAAGGCTTAAGTGGGAGATTACGTTTGTAATAACCTGATCAGTAAAAAAGCAAGAGTAGTCATATCTGTTTTCTTATGAGTTTTGCCATGTGTTTCGAGCTTAGGGCTGCCAGTTTAAATACTATAACATACAACGCTAACCTTTTAATAGTCTGGAGATTTGCGATGCTTATCTTACCAAAGCTGTATTCTGTCAACAGATTTCGATATGCTCAATATAAAAAGCATTCATCAAGTCTGTCAGTGTGGAAGCACTGATCTGGGATCACTCAATTGCAAATTTCACTCTCCTAAAGTCAAAACTGACCCAAGATAAGCATTCCTGCTTGACAGACCCTGATTAGTTTAGGCGAGTAAACTCAGTAGCCGCATTCTACAATATTTTGGTTACCAGTTGTATTACAGTATAGCCCCCCCCTCTTTTATCTCAGACCAGCTCCACCTTGGAGTTGGGGTACACAGCAACAACATCGTAGCCCTCGGGAGGCTGGACACGGGCCTTTGCGTGGGTCTCGCAGTACAGATTGTCTTCGATAAAGAAGTAGCCTCTCTGCTTTAGGTTGATGCCGCAGTCGTCGCAAATGAAGCAGTCAGGATGGTAGAGCTTGTCCCGGGCCTTCACGATGGTGCCACTACATGTAAAGACAAAAGAGGACAAAAAAAAGAGTTTACTATACTGTAAATAAATGTAACAAGTTATAAAATCCTGCAGCTGCAGAAGTGAATTACTGCAAATATTACTGCAGCTTCTACTGGATCATGATAAACACTGATTACGTAGTTTGGTTAAGCCTGTTATTCAGTCCTGCTGAAATGTGATAAATAAGAGTGCACACTGTGTTCAAGGCTTATATTTCACCTTTTTAGCAATAGAGGAAGATATGAATGCATAAATGCGTGATCGCAAACTGGACAGATAAGCAAATTGCAAAATGCAGTTTTCCTTTAAAGGCTGTCTGACTTTTTGAAGGCCAGTTTAAAAAAAGATGTCCTCATCACAGAAGACGTTAAGCAAAAATGAATGACTCACAGTTGTTCATCAAATGTTGCATTATCTATGCAAATCAGGAATTATACTTTATAGCCACTGTACCTATGCAAGCATTTGAATACGGCTCATCACATGCCGTGTGTCAGCTTCAGGTGGCAGAAAGGTTACACGCTGTTAAACAGTACACATTTATTCCGCTGCATGGCTACTTACTGGCACCAGTGAATTTAGAAGAACTTTGGTCAGCTGCACGGTGACAAGAGTGTTAGGGACGTTGTTCATTCATAGTTTCCAATTAGATTTTCCTGTCTGGCCTTGAGATTGGGGCCAACGACCATTAAATCATAAACTTGGTGCTTTGCTTTTCCAAAGTGGCCGCATGACTCGCAGGATAAACTCCTGACACAGTGTTCAATACATCTTTAAAGACTGTAAAAAGCGCTTAGGTCACAGCAGCCGTATTATACTGCACAAGCTTCCACAATGTTCTCTTGTTAACACTGAAAATAAGCTTATGACATCATTTTTTTTAAACATTTCTTTAACCTCCGCTGCTTTTTTAGAGAGGGGATTACCGGTGTATGTGGTTAGTTTGTCAAAAGGTGTGTTCAATTCACAATACGTGTATGAAGAATGTGTGCATGGGAAAGGGTGTGGAGGATGGCTTGGTTTAATCATTAAAATGATAAATGTGAGCAGAGCTTTCTGAGGACTTATTGAAAGGCCTGTCTGTGCATGTCGACCAGTGAAAGATCACTTCTTTGTTTTCAAAATCGGGGAAGAACCTTGACTCACCTCGCATACTCTTAAACTTTATGGCAGCAGACAGAATGATAAAATAAGTGGGAGATGCATAACTTCCTGCTGAACCTCATGAGCATTTCAACAGAAAATCGATTATATCTCCAATGTCATGTTTATTTTGTCTGTACTGTACCGCAGCAAATTTTCAAGTTAATCACTTTTATGGCTTCTTGAAATGTAAAAGTACATTTTTTTATATTTTATGCACATGTTTTTATATTACACACAGCCCAAAGAGTCCCTCGCCAATATGACCCCATTATTTACATATTATTGTCATCTTAGGATATACAAGTCAGAATTTGCACAATACTTACACAATACCGTTACAGCACCGTGTGCACTGGGGTAGTTTCTGAAGACCAGACATAGGGCTGGGGATGGGGCTTCCCAACTTGGGGATTGGAGATCTGACGGGAGACTTTAAGTTTCTCATTCTCTCCGTTGGTGACACACCTATGAAAAACGATATGTCGTTAAGAGACATACTTGAAAAAAAGGCAAGTACATCATGCTCCAGGGATTCTAGACACTGAGATATCACAACACTTCCTCTGTATCCCTCTGGTAAACGTATTTTATATATGTCTCCATGTGTTTGTAGGTTCTCACTCATTCAGGTCATGGTAGTTTTGGGAGCTTGAAAAAGAAAGCAATTGAACTTCTTTAAGTTAAAGTTTAAGTCCAGTTGCCATCTTTTTTATCTCCTCAGACTGTATGTCTCCATATTTCTCTGGCTTTCTTTCAATTAAAGTTAAGTTAGCGCTACTCTGTTAAATGAAGGTGAAAAGTCACACAGGTTCCTGAAAGGGAATGCTACATGAGTTGTCTGTAGTTTCTGTTCACCACTCAACCATTTTTCACTTTGTGTGACTCTCAAGCGCCTTTGTGAGATACACTTGGAAGAAGTGTAACTGAGATGGTTTCTTTTTCTCAGCTGTTAGCACAACAAGCACACTGTTACTAATCAATGGTTGTGTTATTATATTATTAGCAACACATATGAAAGACACATAGTGTCTGTTGGATATGAAGATGTTTCTGCTGGTTTGTCCAAGTACATGCAAGTGAGGACTTCAAGCAAAACATCCAACTAATATTATTACACTTTAACACTGAAATGAACAACATTCACTGCATTAACCAAACAGCAAAGACCCAGCAACTGCCCTGAACTCCTGGTTCATGGTTGCAGGAACCAGGGGACAAGTCATGGTAAAGCTTTAATAAAAAAAAAAACAGTAACATTCTTGCTCTTCTTCAGCCTCGTTCTATTGAAACTGCAAAAACTGTAGTACCGATGTACACAGTAATCCTACAAGACATACTGATAGAAAAACTGGCAAATGTTCCTATGTTTTTTTTTTTTTCCCCTAATATGGGCTCTGCTTGTCTGTTCTCCTTACATCACATTCACAGAATTCCTTCTTTTCTTTCCATTTTGTGTGCCTCTTCTGTGTCTCTGGCACCTTCCCGTGATCCCTATTCAAGTGTCACATTCTGTAGTGCCTTTCCTGGGAGGAATGCATCAGTCAGCCTGGCTCGACACCAAGCAAGGAAAGTACCTCATGGAACCTCATCACATCACATCGATATGCTACAATCACACGACGCATGTGAAAGACGCAAAATGGTTTGTAAAGAGATTCATCATACTGCTTACAAACGGCTTAACAAATTTATCAAGCCATCTGTTACAGAAAAAACAAAACCTGCAAATCTTTTTAAAAATACTGTTAAAAATTGTTTAAAATTACTGTTATTTATTATGCAAGTAACAAACTGAATTTGTGTTTTTATACAAAAAAAGTTATTTAAGAACAACATTTTTAACTACTAAAACGACTTTTCCTGTTCAGGAGTGCAAGTAAATACTGTAAAACAGTGAATTTTAAGAATCATGGACAATCACAATAATTATATTTTAGCATTAAAAAAAATATTATTTTGATCAAAGAGCATTTGCACACTGGTGGATAAGTAAAGAAACATAATAAAATATTTTTTGTTAATCAACAATACAGTCATTTAGGGCAGCTCTGGCATAATTGGTATTGATATTAAAAAATACTGAGATTCAGAAACCTTCCATGGATGCATGCTTTGAATTGTCTTCTTTCAAGATAAAGCTTAATGCCAACTTATGTTATGATTTTTGAAAACAGATTTTAGGTTGTTTAAATGGTGGTACTGTGGTAGATGCGTGTTACTACCTTCCCATGGTTGTCATTTCTTATTAGAAGTGAATTCTAAGACAATCAGGTATTTAGTCATGCCTGACTGGAACGCATTAAAGGGGATATTTTATAGTGGGTATCTGGAGCCAGTACAATGCATCCAAGCGCAGCAGAGTAAATCAGTAGAGCACAGCCACTACATGACTTCCCTTTGCTGATGATGTGCCAGCAGAGGCCGTTCAGCCAAACAGGCCACCTATGACTACCAGTAACCACAGTGTAATTACCGTACATCTGGCACCTTCCTCAAAGTGATTTCTGTCCCTCAGTGTCAGTTAGCCTATGACTGCTCCATAGTGTGTTTAAGAGATGATATTATCAGACCATGTTATTTCTGGGATGAATGCCTCAGTTGCCCATTAAGGCACTCTAATGGAACCATGACTTTCTAACAAACGCGAAAGCTAATGCATTTTTTGTACCACAGTCATAAATAAGTGCAAAAGGGGGCTTTTCAGCTCTTGCTTTACCTAAAAAAAAAAAAAAAAAAAAAAAAAGCCATTCCACACAGGCCTGCTATATTTTGCTGCCAAACACACGAATGTATCGTTTGATCGACAGTGACAAGTTGGCCATTTGCAGCACATATCTCACCCCATGTAACATTCACACTATAATCTGTGACTAATGTCAAGCAGACGCACTGTAAAACAGACAGGCACACTTGTGCCCACCATCCATGTCAAACGCAGAGTGCGAAGCTTCACAGAATTTAAGGCAGTGGAAATCAGCGTCGTTTTCGACAGCTACTGAGAGGTACCGTTTCTACAACTCTTCAAGGACATCTTGATTTGTTCCTGAAACATGTGTTGTGTTGGTTTGGTTTCATCCAAGATGTTTAAAAGGAAGGATTCTATCAAAAATAATCTGTCAAAAATAATGGCAAGAAAAATATGACGAGAAAGATCAGATGAAATGTTTTAGAAAGATTTGCTGTTTTTAATATGGGGCCACACATGCAGATGAAAAAAAAAAGTATAATTAAATGTAAGCCAACTGACAGAAGCGTAACAAATTACAACGGGCTGTTAACACCAAATATCAATTACGTCTTTTTTCATGTCACATCACCGTGAAATCACTTCACACTGCTAGAATCACATGTTTAGACACCTAGAAACCCTCTTTTTTTTAGATGCATTTTGCTTCTCTTTCACCCCCACCCAAACCCCTCTTTTTTGACATTGCCTGGTTAATTGGGACCCCAAACAGTGTTAAGCTTATTTTCATCATTTTACCCTTTTCAGTTGTGGTCATTTTGGAGAGATCCTTTAAATATCCCACATATTAAGTAAAAGTATTAGTGGTGTAACCCAAGAGGCAATCAGAAATGTGATGAATGTTATACTTTGAAAGTAAAACAGTCCTGCTGATTGATGTGCTCTTTAGAGGTCTTTTCTGAGAAAGGACACAGCCTGAACCCGTCTTGGAAATTTCTTTAAACAAACAACATTTGAGTCTGGAGTATTTTTCAGGGGTCACTGGCACTGTGTTTATTTCTTTTTCCAACTGTTAAAGAAACAAAACACTCCCCGGTCTGTGTTCCTTCAAAATTTGCCTCAAACGATCAGCAGTAAAGGTGAAAATTATAAAATTCAATCTGCAACAGTGCAGATTGAATTTTGGTTTGTGGCACAGCTTAGCATTTGAGTGTTCTTATCTTTAATGCTTCATGTTGCTGTTTTCCTTGCTTTTACCTTTTCACATCTTTGTGTTTGTATGTGTCCTTGCTGCTAAAACAATGTCCTCTTGTGGAAAACAGGATATGTACTCAAGTGTAATGTTGTTGCAGTATTTCCTAAAACACCCCAACTTTCCTATTTAACAGTCACACCACCGCTCCATCCACATTGCAACCAAACCATGGAAGACTCTGTGGAATTCTGGGTAAACTGACACTTTTGTTTGCTTTAACTTTAAAAGCCCTTAAAAGTCAACACGACCTCTACACTGGCTTTAGCCTCCAAAAAGGAACCACCTCCAGCAATTTAAGACATTCATTCAAATGCAGTATTTTTTTTTTACTTGTTTCACAATAAAAAAAGAAATGGAAACAAGCAGCATCTGGAGAAGGATTTAATTCTCTAACACAGAATAGAAACAGACACAGGTAGCTTTTGAATCAACAAAGGCACAGATAGCTTGATGAAACTTAGAGTCTCTGTTTCATCGAGGATTTAGTCTGTCAATCAACCTGTCAGTCACTCAAGCTGAAAGGCAGATGAGAGCAGACAAAAGAGGTCCCTTTAATCTCTTTAATCCACCAGTCCTAAAATCTGCATTTTCATCCAACCTCTTTCATCTGTTGTTAGCATCTTATTGCTTTAACTGCTATAAGAAGTGACAAATTATGAAAACAGTCTGGTTTGGCTCCGATCCAGGTCTCCCCACAGAAGAAGTTTAAATTGTTCCCTGTGCTGTTAATTATCCTGTCAGCTCTCACATCAAAGGCTGATCCTGAGATGTAATAACCAGACAACGGAGTATTCTACAGGGAAAGAAAACCTTTAAATCATGCTACTCTAAATTATCTAAAACTCTTAAACATTATATAATGCCAGTTCAGAGACTTGATTTTTTTAAAAACTATTTTGTGTTTTATTTGTAGTAAATATTCAGTGCATACTGCTGTCCTGATAAGTTTTACTTCGGATTTGGTGCCCTTTTGTGCTAGCCCTGGCATTAAGGTGAGATAATCTTCTTTTAAAGATTAAAAACGTCCACATTTGGAAGTTGGAGGATTGGCAAATGAATAAGTCACGAGTTTGCACGCCAGCTAAAAGAGGTTTGTGTCTCATTCAGGAGTTTTGTGTTTTGCTCATTAGTTTACTTTTTCATTTTTATTTGATTACACTTCCTGTATAAATTCAGGCACCAAAAACTACTTAGGTGGAAATGATCCTGTTTTGGTTAGAACACGGCCCTCAACATCATTTACCCTGCACATTAAAGGCAGCAGTTGTGAGTTATATAATCTTGTCCAGTAAACATGGAGTTACATTTGATGAAAAAAAACAAAACAAAAAAAACCCCAAAAAACCCAAACAGAAGACAGTTTCATGGTACAAATGAATTGAAATCTATATCCATACTGATTTTTTTCAGTTTGTTGAATAAAAATATTAACATTACAATTAAATAATACTCCATACTTACCTCAAGCAATAACTCTCTACAACCCAGCACATCTGATTAGCAGAGAATTGTTTGTTCTTTTATTTTAATGTTTCATTGCCATTTTAATTTCTGTTTTGATTTGTAGATCCTGAAAAAATACAATTATATATTTATGTACGTATATATTTACTATAACACTACTACTACTACTACTACTACTAACACTACTACTACTACTAACACTACTACTACCACTACTACCACTACCACTACCACCACTACTACATTAACTATGATAACAAATAAATTTCCCAAATCTTGGATAACTGGCGTATATCAAAAGCTGATGTAATAGTAAGTATAGTCAGTATGTAGTATATGTATTGTCAGTTTGTATACCCTCTTTGGATGGGGGACGGATATTTGAGTAAGAATTAGCATTACAAAGATTATGTACTTACTCATTAGAGCCTTTTTATAGCAGTGGAGAAGTTTATATAGTGTTTTTTTGCTTTTTTTTTTTTTTCCCCCCAAATGTAATTAGGGTTAAAGGACTTTTTTTAAAAGATGTGTCAATGTTAATATCTGAGGTTTAGAAAATCCTTAGTCACTGGTGACAGATCATTTTCTCTGAGGCCCATGCTATTTGTGTTTGAACATACCAACGGGCTTGTGCTGCGTTAACAGTAAACATGGAACGTGAAGAGAAGGTTTTAGTTCCAGGGATTAGCTTTTCCCTGCTGCTGTCAGCATCATATGACTCCCTTCTTAAAAGCTGGAATTCCAGGCGGTCAGAAGGCAGACGGGAAAACCATATTTCTCACTTTATTGTCCTTTGTAAAGTTGTTTTTGCAGTAAATTGCCCTACAAAAACTCCCCCTGTCAATCTGCATGCAAGCTATTTAAAACACTTAATCTTTCTCCTGCTTCCTTTGTCTTGGGTTTGTTTTGGTTTTTTTACTTTCTATCTCGCTTTCCTCCCCATGTCTTCCTATCTGTCCCCTAACCTTGCTGTCTGTGTATTTCTATAAAAGGAAAACTATGCTACTTAGACAGAGGAGTTCATAACAGTCAGTGAACGAATGCCTGTGCAAGAAGTCCCTTTAACTGGAATCACAAGACTCATCTGCATTAGAGGAAATAGTTACTCAGAAATTTCCACCGTTTACATTTATACTTGTGCAGATGTGCAGATACTTTGTGCATTATACCTGTTTGGTATGTGGCACCGACAATTATTCTGACAGCTGATATTATCATTGTGGTAAAGTATAAATATAGTGTTGTTTGTTTGGTTTCTTTATGACAGCTTGTCATAAATAGAGAAAATATACACAAACTTATAACTTAAAACAAATTTAAAACTGGCAGTTTTAAAGCTTAATTTCTTCTCTAACATAAAATTATCTACTCTTTTTCAAGCTTTTAAAAGCAATATATATGTATAGTTTTTTTTGCTTTGAAGTGTTGAACAACAAGTCTAACTGAATTACTTGGGCTATTTTTGGAAATTTAGTGGGCAAAATGGTTAATCAGCAAGATAAAATGACTTTACTTTCACAATAAAGTTAATTGGTGCAATAATGTCAACAAGAATCTTTAGCAGCAATGGGTGATCTCTCCAAATAAAGTTTAAAAGGTTCAGTGAGTGAACTCTCACATGCTTTTTTCTGCCTAATTTTTGCACACATGATAAGCAGACACACAAATATGCAAACACATGAATCCATACCTCCATCCTCAGCCTCCAGGATTCCCTGGAGGTATTTGAAGGAGCCAGACTGTTTGGGTTCTGAGACAGGTTCCTCATAGTCCTGCAGCATCTTGTAGACGTCTGACTCCGTGTCAAATCCGTTACGGCTCACGGGAGACTGTATGGGAGGCTCTGGGCTGAAAGATTCAGTGAAACCGATATTCAGTATAACCCATTTTAAATTCAACCGTGACAAGACATGAAACATAAATTTATTTTAGTGATCCATCAAGACTGTAGACTATACATAAAAATAGGACATCGCCACCATGACGTCACCTACTGTTTTGTTGGCTTTTGTTTTGAAGCCCTCTGCATGGCGCATTAGCATGATTTCTCTTTGAAACCAAACATAATGAGTGAGGTAAGGAATCGGATGAAAAAAAAACAAGGATACTACACACTTATAATTTATTTATAAGTTATCCAATAATGAAATTATACCCTAATAATTTTTTTTTTTTCGGAATGCAACATCAGAAGAGAATGTACAATAAAAAAAACGAGCTGAAATAACAGATTGCTGTTTATTGAGGTGACAAATGAAGTGAGAAGTAGCATTTTTCTTGATTTTCCCCAGGCCACTACTGCTTTGGCTTAAATTTACAGATATGGAGATTCCATCTTCTAAATAAGAGGATAAAACAAAAAAACAAAAAAAAAAACAAAAACAATAAGTATTCCCTAAAGGACAAAGTTGTGAATCCTGGGAATACTATTTTTGTTTTTAAGCAGATGTCAAATATAGCCACTTCATATTTTTGTAATGTCAAAATGTGTTTTGGGACCAAGGGAGGAATAAAAGTTTCAGATGGCTGCAGCCATATGAGGTAAGGAGAAAGAGTAAGGAAGAACTACAGTATTTTTCTTTTCTAATTAAAACTGCATATATAGAGCGCATCGGTGCATCATTTTTTTGTATTTCTGTCTCAACGCATGAAGTCTTAATCAAAACAGCTTTGTATCATACTTCTATTCCTTATGTCATCTATCAAATTATTCCCAGTGCTTCCCTTCATTTGGAAAAGTTTAAACATTCTAACTTCTGGAAGATGACTAGGACTGCTGACAGATGTGTGCAAGTCCAGACACACTTAAATACAAGTCTGTCTCCAGATGCCCTTTCAGGAGTCTGACTGCGTGTCTGAGAGGAAAAGCCTGAGCTGTCATGAAAGTGAGAGTGATTGAGAGAAAGCGAGAGCAGACAGAATTGTGTAATATGTGTGTAAGAGAAACTGACTGACAGCAGGCAACAAAGATAGTGTTAAAACACTTGAGTGCAACTTTGTGTGCGTATGTGGGGGCTGTGTCTAGGAGTGCTCAAAAGCATCTTCACTGGGAGACTGAACATGCACATTTATTGCCCACTTGAGGGGATACAAGACAGCAAATGCCTTTTACAGTCCACAAGGCTATCTGTGCAGCTGTATCAAAAGACATCCAGAGTGTGTTTGTTTCTGTGTCTCTGTGTTAAGTGTCTGCACAGGGACCTGCAAGGAAACTGGTGAGGCTTTAATAATAGATAGGATGATTGTTTTTAGAAGCAGTGGAGGGAAAGGTAAAGCTATTTCCTTGTGTGATTTTCCCACAGATATAATCTGTGTAAAAAGGTCCATGAAAACTCATGAGGGGGATATTTTGAAATCTGATATAAACAGCTATTACATACACGTGGTTCATTGATTTCTTTTTTTTTTTTTTTTTTTTTTAAGGTAAACACAACAACAAATTGGATTTCTAGCTAGCGAAGTAACCAGAAACTTGGGATAAGTGCACAAGATAAGTAAAAGAAAATGTTGTTGCATTAAAATAATAGACTTTAAACTATATTTGAAGATTTTTTTATACTTATTTACTTATACTTATTGGATTTTAGAACATTCAGAATAAAAACTGGTGTTGCTTCTGCAGTTCTTTTAAAGAGGAGGGTAAATATTTGAAAATAACAAGCGCTACAGTAACTGTAGATTAACCTGTCAAAAGTGCAAGTAAGGTGTGGCTGGATGCTTATGATTTACAGTCCTGGAAAGCACACGGTATTGCTGTCTCACCTGTGTGTGGCACTGATGCTGAGACCTCCCATCTTGCTCGGCAGTGATCTGTCCCCATTGCTTCCATTGTGAGCATATAGTCCTGCAGGGTTGTTGTACTGAGAGTGCCCGGTTCCATTGCCATACCCATAGCTGTGTCCGTTGTTGGGTCTGGAGTGTCCGTTATTCAGGTTAGCGGGCTGAGGAACCTGAGGTGACTGGGGTTCAGCGGTATATGAAGGTTTACGGGTGTAACTGGCATATCCGCTAGTGATCGGACGAAAATTCTAAAACCAAGGAAAGAAAAGAGGAGACACGTTTACCAAACAGGAAGAGCAGATGCCAGCATCACAGGAAAACATCACAATTTTATGGTTGAAAATGTATGCAGTTACAGAGAAACTTTGATTCTTTGGTAAGTTTCCTACATTAAGGGAGAATTGCTAATGTAATAAGGAAGGAAAAAAGGATAATGAGCTATTATAGCTCATACAACATTATGTTCTGGTTCAGGAAATGAGAATAAAAAGAGAACATGAAAGAGAAAACAAACCCGGTGGTGTCCTGACTAGAAAACCACAAGTCGTCAGAGGGAAAATGAACAGTTGTTTGCGAATGAGGCTTTGCAGCAATGAGGTTTAAATGAAAAACTTTTTCCACTTCATTTGTGTTGTTCCCTGTTTAATACCAAGGCTTATTAAGAAGGAGCTCGCATTAGATTTAATGCAGATGTTTCTGTCAAAACAGATTAACTTGTGTATTTTAAGTACTGCTTTTTGGCTACTTCTGTGAGCTGAAGCCTTCATGGTTGATGACAGAGCTGAGATACTGCAGAAGATTAAATTATTATCTTTCTGACATGCTGCAGCAGACTTTCTAGACTCTTGCCATATAATTTCTGTGTTCAACGTGTTTGGAAGAATGTGCCGGACTAATGCAGGGCAGATGCAGAGACAATTACAATCTACAATTACACCACTGTATGCGCAGTAAGTGTGTTTATGGCTGGGTCAACGCCCTTATCATGAATTTGCACCAACACAACACTGACAACAGTGAGACACTGTGTTTATCAGCACGCTTCAGTGATAACACCCACTGCCAGCTTGGCTCATCCATATCAGACAGTGAACTTTACAGATAAGGTTTTATTTCAACATTTGCAATGATGTCACCACTTCTCATGGTGTTTTAGTGCTTTGAATATGAGAGCTAAATAGCAAGCTTGAATTACTAAAGACGAGGCCCACGCATACGCATGAATTTAGACTATACACATTTCAGCTAAGAATAAAATGACTTGTTTACAAGTTAAGCAATGCACCAGTAAGGGAGACAGTCAGATTGTTGTTGACTGTGAGACACTAGAAGGAGTTTGAGTGCGTGCAAGTGTATGTGTGGCTATGTCTGGCCTAGTTTAAAGGGCCTTAGCCACAGGTGGTGGAGGTTCACCGCCTCTGCAGACAGGACACCTGTCATTTCAACAGAAGGGTCCTGCTGGATGTCATCCTGTTCTCTGCCCTCACCTGGACCACCCACACACACACACACACACACCACACACACACACACGCACACACCACACACACACACAACACCACACACACACACACACGACAAACACACACACACACACACACACACACACACACACACACACACACACACACACACTTTAATCACTACTTCATAGCGCCTCTTCGACACCAACAACCCCACATCCTGGTCTTGGAAAAACACTTCGTCATTCCCTCCTGCAGTCATGACTGATGACTTTCAAGAAATTTAAAACATCTCATCTGACTCCCCCAACAACCATGGACAATAAAGACAAATATAACTCTCACAGTAACTCTCTGGGCAAAGTGCTAGCAGATAGCCATTCATGGTAAAGTTGAGACAAGCAGACAGGAGATTCAGCACTCTTAGAAACCAAGAGCCAAACCCTCTTTGGTCAGGATGTCAGAAACACCCAGTTCTCTGCGGCTCTCTCTTCAAGCAAACGAGACAAGCCGAAGCCTGATTCTTACCACTGAGTGGAATAGCCAAACCAGATTCCAGTCGTTATCTTTAGCCCTGTTTGTACAGATGGGGGACTTCATGGGAATTTAATCAAAGTTACCCTCATTCGCCTTAGCTCAAACTAAAAGGTTCCTTCAGATCGTTGGTTGTCTGTCTATCCACAGTGGTCTAAAAAACTGCGAAGAGGAGGCAAACTCCACATCATTTTTGAAGTGCTCAAACCCTAACCGTAGACCAGTCCAATCCAGTAGGTAGAGATGACTGTCAACAGACAGGCGACAGTGCAAGTAAGCATGGAGAAGAGTCCTACACTTGTGCTCTTTACCATACTTTATTACTTAAATAATGTGGCTGCTGGTAAACAGTCAACTGAAAGCAAAGGGATTTCAAAACACAAAAAAGGCTAAACTTATGGTGAGCAAACCATTTTTACGAGGTCATCTGAGGAATGACCATGATATAGATAAACCCTTGTTGACACTCAACCAATCAGAAATGTACAGTGCTGAAAGCCCCATCATCATCCAAAAGGAATGGGGATGCGGGGGTACAGTAACACACTTTCTCCAAAGGTTCTGTATTTCTGACAAAAATGAAGACTCCCTTGGAAAAAAAAAAATTACTATTTGCAGTACTTACACTCAGTTCTATTTACAGTATAGCAAGAGAGAGGTCAGCTAAAAATATAGTCATAACACTGGTTTCGATGACTGTAAATATTGTTTAATGGTTTACAGTATCACACGGCTGCTCGAATCCCTTCCTTCCTTCCACTTTGACAGGTTTTCTTTTTAATTTCCAATACGATGATTTACTGCCGGCTTTCTTTTTATTTCAACCCTTCGAGAACTTACTGTTCCTTAAGAACATATCAAGCGCTACAAAGGTGAAGTTCTTCAGAAGTCACTGTTGCTACATGTCTTTTTTAGCACTCATTATTCATTTCTCATATTTATTCAGGGGCTAAATCTGTAGATAAAAATCAGAACAATAACTTTCAACAAGCAAGCTCATTCATGTAGGTGATTCAGGAAATTAAAAAAAACAAACAAAACACGTAAAGGAAAATCCCTGAGAGTGTATTACGTTACATGCCCCTGCAGTAGAATGACAGTAAAGGCATTACAGTTATGACACTAATGTGTACAAGCGAGATGCGAGGGACAGGTAACCACAAGTTAATGTATAACGTTATCTTTTCTATCAGAATGATATATATATATATTTTTTTAACTGACTTCAGATATCAATCTTGTCACAGATAAGTAATCTGTGCAGCACAAAACAACCTCTGGCCTAAGGACAAGAAATACTCAACTGCTTTTTCACATCTGAGAACGTAACAGGTTTTGGGAAGTACGACTGCAAATTCTGATAAAGCCAACTGAGTCAAAGTCGACAGATCTAATGTCCGGAAAAAATGTGAATATGGAGTTAACAAATATCTTTTAATTATCAGAAATTATCAGCAGTCGAGTTGCATGGTGCGTGCTTTGTGCACTGCATTTTGACACAAAATAACAATACTGGAGATTAAAAGAATCACCTTCTTCAAATGGTATCAGCCCATTAAAGACCCATTGTCAGTCATCGCCACCCCTATAATCATCTTCAAATTAAGCACAGCACACCTAGTAATAGGCCAGAAGGTGTGTATAATCCATTCCAAACATTAATAAATAGGACAGATGAGATATATAATCTCTCATGCAGGTTGTGACTCTACCCTGGGGTCTCCTCCCAGTTGGGTGTGCCCAGAAAAACTCCAAAGGGAGGTGCCCAGGAGACATCTTAACAGATGCCCGAAACTCTTCACATCATGCAAATGTGTGGATGTAAAATGAGCTGGTTTTGTCCAGCTCAGTATCAAGCTAAGATGTATAATTTCCAAGAGAATACTATCTCAGTGAAAAGGGGGATCAGAAACTTAAAACCAGTCCCACATGGGTCATAACATTTCCGCGGTGAAAAGAAATGAGTAAAACCAATGCCAAAGTTCTTAAAAAGTCTTGTTTAGTTAGATTTCTTTCTTGTCAGAAGCAAGTACAGATTTACCCATTTTCACCCTAACACCCTGTATGATATGGTCTGCTTCCTTTGGTTTCAAAGGGAACTGAACCACATACTCCAGCCATTCCTTTTGTCTTTTTTTGTTCTCCTCATAACACTCTTTCCTCTCTGGTTGTGCACGTCTGTTACACAGATATTTCCTTTGGATGGATGGTAGATTTATAAGGCTGCACATCTGGGACTTGCCTTATAAAAATGCCAGTTTGGTAACATTCAGAACCTTTTAGTGCTTTCATGTTGCTCTAAAAGTATAGTGCCTTGATTTTCATTTTTATTACAAATATCAGATTTAAGCCAACTTCCCCATTACAGCGATTTATTCTTCTATTTCAAAGGTGTACTAGAGGTTTAATGGAGATTTTGCCTTAAAGTGATAGCTGCATTAATCTTCTGAATGCCTAATCACCCCAGTTCTGCTCATTCTCCATTCTTACTTTTCAAATATAGTCATAACACTTTAAAATTAATATGAGCAACTTTCTTCTTCATCTTTAGACCTCAACAACATACATTTACTGAATGAAATTTTTCTCTCTTGAGAGTAGCCACACTTTCTCCTAAGGCTTGACTACATTCCTCTTGCCTAAGAGGAAGAGAAATCACAGGAACACAGAATGCAGATAAGGAACAAATAGCAGTAACTATTTGTAAGAACCAATATCATCTATCGCTGTATGCTCATAAATTTAGTGTCCCATCTGATTTTACTGACCTGTTTTTCAGTGGTAACCAAGCATGGCTGATGCTTCAGGAAGGCTGGCCATGTAAGAGCATATGTGCCAAAAAAAGTAAAGAAAGCATAAAGATAGCAGAACACTGCTGGGTTCTGCTATTTGTTACTGCTATTAAAAGTTACTGTGATTAATAAGAAACTGAATGGGAGATGATAGAGGTTTTACCTCCTGTCCCAACTATATATTAGCTAGAAAGTGGTAGACACACGAGAGGGGGATGGGTCGAGGAAGAGAAAAAGGTTGTGGGCCTTAATTGAAATCATATGTCTTTAACTGAGGGCCGAGGCCAGTCACACATGCTCAAATTCCTGATAATACACACACACACAGGCATACTGCTTCCCTCCTGCAAGGTTTAATCCCCCTGGACATTTAAAATTAAGCTTTTCACATGGCGCTCTGCACCACTAGTCAGACACAAACCAGCCCTTTAATGGCTCCCTTGTCCTGGTTGTGGGTGC